GGGAGGGGGGGCGTGCGGCTGAGCGGCCACCCCAGTGCCCCGGGCTGGCCCTCTCCGAGCACCAGGCCCAGGCAGTGGGTCTGGGCTGGGTGAGGCGCTAGGCTGCGCCTGACCCCTGCCCCCGCCCCTGCCCCTGCCCCTGCCCCTACCCTTACCCTGCTGTAGACCTGCGCCTGCAGCTGCTGGACGTGAAGAACAACCCGTTCCTGATCAAGGCCCTGTACGGCCTGCTCATGCTGCTGCCCCAGAGCAGCGCCTTCCAGCTGCTGTCCCACCGGCTCCAGTGTGTGCCCAACCCCGAGCTGCTGCAGACTGAGTGAGTGCGGCGGGCCCTGCCTGCTCCCGGGGCGCCCACGTCTGCCAGCCGGCGAGGCCAGGCCTGAGGGGCCTGGAGAGTAAGGGAAGGACCATAGTGAAGCTCAGTTACTGGGGGCTGCTACTAACTAGCCAACACTCCAACACCGGGTTTGATGATCCCCCCGTTCTTGGGTGCCCCGTTCTTGCTCGGTCGCAGAATGGAGGACTGAGATCAGGGAGTGGTCTAGAAGGTCAAAAATCACAGTGCTCTGCTGAGAAGCAGAGCAAAGGCTAAGTAGAGAGGGGCTCCCCTGTGGCCTGGCCAAGCGCCCTAGCATTTGGCAAGGGAGATCTGTCCCTCTGCCAGTTGATAGACTGACCAAAGATGGCAGAAGAGGCTGCCTGGGTTCCCTGGGTCACGGTTCACTCTCTCGTCCAGGCCACCATGCTGGTCCCAGTCTGAAGCTCTTCCAGGGGCGGGCAGGAGGTCAGTTACAGGTGTGAGCGTCCCTGTCATTGACCCACATTCTCACAGTGCAGAGGTTGCCAGAAGCTTCCACAGCTCAAACCCCTCAGCACTCCCACTTCTTAAAAACAACCATGCAGGAGGTGGCTTAACCTGAGTTGGGGTGTCTTGAGTAGCACCCCCCCCCAGGAGCTGGCCAGGGCCTGTTCTGCCACAGTGGACTCTGGTCAGGAGATGAAGAGCCCTAGATGGACAGGGCAGGGAGACTTGGCGAGCGGGCAAAACCCCTGCCCAGCAGTGTGGAGGGGACAGGTTTGGGCCCGGCATGTGGGGACAGGAGCCGCTCCCTGTGCGTGCTGACCCAGGGCCGGGGGCACCTCAATGCTGCTGTAGAAACAAGCAGAGGCCCGGCCTCAGCTTCCCACTGCCCCACCAGCCACTTTTCGGATCTAACGAGTCCTTGAGGTCTAGTTGGCCTGAGCTGGAGTCTGAGAGGAGTCATCAGGCAGGGCTTTGGGTGGGGAGAAGGCCGCCAGACAACAAACTCACGCTCAGCGCCTCACTGCCTACAGGGAACGGCCAGCCTCTCTCAAGGGGACTCGTTTCTGCCCGACCGCAGTGGGCTCCTCCACTGTCATTTCGGCACTCCTGACAGCCCGGCTGGAAATGGCCTTCTGATGGACGCCAGCTCTGCTGGGCCTTCTTGTGGGAGGGGCCCTGGGCCAGGGGCTGAGGCCGGAGAGCAGCTCAGGGTCCAGTTCCTCCGGCCCCTCTCAGGAATTGCTAGGAAGACAGGGCTAAGAGGCTCTGTTCCAAGACATCACAGACAGCATGGCCTTCTAGGCCCACCAGAGTCCGTGGGCAAGCTGTTCTGGGGCCCAGGAGGCAGGGGAAGAGGGGAGGCTGGGGACAGCCTGGGCCTGTGTTCCAGGAGAGAGGCAGCCCGAGGAGTCCGGCAGAGCGACTTCTGTCCCCTGGTCCTGCTGTTGCTCTACCCACCGTTGCCTTCCTGGGGGATGCATGGCAGGCTCTGGCAGGAAGTTCACGTGATCACCAGCTGGACCAGGGCAGAAAGATGCTGTCAGGAGTGCTGTGTATACAAACCACAGAACCAGGCTGGGGTGGGCGGCCGGAGAGCCAACCCTGCAGATGTTGTTAAGTGAAACCTGATGTGGCGACATGAGAATCTGCAGCCCTCCTCACAAACAACCTTCGCTGGGATGTTTTGGATTGAGTTTTGTGGCTGTGACGCGAAGGAACCTCACATGTCCGGATAAAAATAGCTCTGGCCTCAATACACAATGCAAAGTTACAGTTCAACAAAACCAGATGTGAAGACAGCAGCAGCCAGCCAGGCCCACAGGGCTTGCTCCCTCCACACCCTCCTGCCCCCACGCCCCCCCCCATAGGTCAGGGCCCCCATGTGCCTGGTCAGGTCCTGCAGTGGGCGTTGGGATCTGAGCTCTGAGGAAACAGCGGGAGGTGGGGGCAGGGGTGGCCAGGGTCCCAGTTCAGATACTGCTCCTGCCGCTGACTGACAGGACAGGCCTGAGGGAGTGAGAGCTTCTTCAGGGCCAGCTCCTGTCTGAGCCTGGCAGGGAGAAGGGGCACAGTGCCGAGGGTGACGGGCGGGGTTGGGGTGACTTCGCCACAGAATCAGGGCTGGGAGAAAGGGAGACCCTGGCCTCTTGTGAAACAGGGTCTTGGGGTGAGGATCAGCTACTGCGGGTCACCTGATTTCTTGGGCTGTGTGGACTAGAGGGAGTTTCAGCTGTTCAGATGTTGCAGCAACAGTGCTCTGGGGACCCAAGCCAACAGGTGGTCACTGTCATTTCTGTGGGTCAGCTCCACCTAGGCCGGGAATCCCTCTGGCCCAGGCAGTGACCCAAATCCAGAAGACTTTCCAGCTGCTCCATTCAAAGCAAGAGCTAAGCTAGTGGGTTAGATGGGGCTGAGGGACTGCAGCTGACCCGGCGGTGGAGAGGGGCTGCTCCAGCAAGAGCTGCAGGCCAGGGACTGAGGGTGGTGTCCAGGGCAGTCGGGAGAGTGGAGGAAGAGGGGATGAACTTCAGTTGGAGGGGGCCAGGTTCCCCCTCTGGAGACAAGTGAAGTCCTGGGTAGCAGGGTGAGAGGGGCCAACTTAGACAGGCCTAGGTGACCAGGTACCCACGCCCTGCGGTGGCATGAAGTGGGGGAGGGAACAGGGCCCTGCCGGGCTTCCCGGGTCCTGTTCCCGAGCTTGACGCTGACCCTTTAAAACCCTAGAGACACTTAGAAAATCTGATGCCAGCTGTGGACAGGTGTGTGTGGCTCCCATGTTCCTCGAAGGCACAGAAAGTCCACTGGGCCTTGTGTTCCCAACAGCAAGACTTCCTGAGGGTAATTTCCTCGATGGAATGTCATCCCCACTGGTGCCCTTGGTGGTTTCCTCTGAGTTCAGGGCTCGCCCCTGCCTGCTGGGAGCCAGCCTGACACACGGGGTGAGCTGGGGCGACTCTTCTATCAGTCTCGTGGGCGGCTCCCCTATGTTGGTA